CATCCTCCCACGCTCCACCATCACAGAGGGAGCACGGTGTTTATCCTCCCACAGGTAATATGGTAATATTCCTGCATTATGTGAAACCTATATGTGGACCAGGAGGCAGTCATCAGAACAGAGCAAGGAGACACTGCATGGTTCAAAATTGGGAAGGATGTGCATCAAGGATGTGTCCTATCTCCGTATCTTTTCAATCTATATGCAAAACAGATTATTCGAGAGGCTGGTTCTATGAGAACTGTGGCATCAGGATTGGAGTAAGATGAGTCAACAATCTGTGTTAACACAGATGACACAACCCTGCTTGCTGAAACTGAGGAGGACCTGAAGTGCTTGTTGCAGAAGATCAAGGGCTGCAGCCTTCAATATGAATTGAAACTCAATATCAAGAAAATGAAGATTCTCACCACTGGGCCAATTGGCAGCATTATGATGGATGGTGAAGAGATTGAGATTGTTCATAGCATTAGTTTGCTTAGCTCCACAGTCAACACTCTTGGCACCAGCAGCCAGGAAATTAAAAGACGTATTGTAATGGGAAAGTCTGCTGTTGGAGACCTCTCCAAAGTACTGAAGAGCAATGGTGTTGCTCTGGAGACTTAGGTGAACCTGATACAGGCCATAGTCTTTGCAATCACTTGCTATGCATCAGTGAGCTGGATAGTGACTAGAGATGACAGAAGAAGAGTTGATGCCTTTGAGTGTTAGTACTGGAGAAGAGTATTGAATATACCATGGACTGCTAAGAGAACAAACAAGTTCGTCCTGGAGAGGGTGAAACCAAGCTTCTCCTTGGAGGCTAGCATTCTGAAGCTCTGTCTGACATACTTTGGACATATTGTGAGATGGGTTCAGTCCGTGGAGAGGGACATCATTCTTGGGAGGGTGGAGGGACAGCACAGGAGAGGAAGATCCTCAATGAGATGGATTGATTCAGTCACTGGGGTAATGGGGATAGGTGTGTCAGAGACAGATTGGCGAGGGATAGAGCAGGGTTTAGGGCTGCTGTACACAGGGTTGCTAGGAGTCACAGGAGGCGACTCAATGGCACATTAACAACAACAACAATGGCACACAGCACCCAACACAGCCCATGGTGGTAATATGCTTACCTGTACAGCACACAACACAGTCCTGGTGGTAATATGCACACTTGCCTGGCACACAGCATGGCCCGTGGTGATAATGTATACACCATTACAGGTACAGCCCAGCCTTGGCCACCTTCACGATCCCTGGTGTATCTGAATCCACTGTAGCTCCTGCTTCTTTGTCTACTTCCTGACCACCATGTCCAGCCCTAGCAGTTTCCTTTTGCTGTGTCCACAGTTAGGAAACTGATCCCTGCTCCAGAGGAGCATCCTGGCTGCATTTTTCCTATCATTGATTTGTTTGTCTGTCAGCAGCCCAACATCCAACATTTCTCCAATTCAAATGCATCCTGTCTTTCTTCTTCCTTGCCCCACATTGGCATGTACACCAGTCCTTCGGGCACACATGCCTTCATCATCAAATTGACATCTTTCATTTTTAATACATTAAAAAGGCATTTTGCAGCAGATTTGCCTAATGAAATACATGTCTTTTTATGACTGCTGCTTCTGTGGACCTTGGTCATAGGTCCAAGAAGAAAGAGATCACTGACAATTTTTGTTCTTTCTGGAGGTGCTTGGTTGAGTTAAATGCACTTGCTCCTTGGCCAGCGTTCTGTGAGCCCCGCTCTGTGAGCCCTCAGCACTCCCCCATCCATGCACCACTCCAAAGCCTGCAGGGAGGGGGAGCTAGGGCCACCTGGGAGATTTCCCCAGTCACCTGAGAGGCTTCCCCGAGTGGCTTCCCATCACCCGAGAAGGTTCCCTGGTCACCTGAAGGTAACCGTGTCACTTGAGGAGCTCCCCATCACCGGAAGGACTCTCCCTATCATCTGAGGGGTTCCTCATCAAGTGAGTGCCTCCTGGGAATCCCCATCAATGGGGCTGCCAGGCAGCTTTCCTGGCCCCCATCCCAGCCTGGCCCCAGGGGAGGTGGGATAGTCTAGTGGTCACATCCCAGGCAGGAGGTCCTAAAGGAGGGAGAAGACTGTCATGGTGTAAAGAGTGAGGACAGCAGTATGGGGGCACCACAGTTCAGATAGCCCAGAGGGAGGGGACACAAGGAGGAGATGGCCTTTGCCTGAGCCCTTCCTGAGAGGACACCCAACAGCTCTGCCTACTGTCAGCCCTCTGTCATCTGCTGTGGCTTCCCAAGTGCCACCTTCCATATGGCCAGGCATCCCAAGGGAGACTGACGGCAGCCGGAAGAGGCCCTCATTACCACCTGCTGCTGCAGCCAGGCCTCCCAGCCCACCGCCTTCATGGCCTGGGCGCCCACACAGACACCCGCCCCCACCCGCATCCTGAGCATTCATGGGAACACAGCCCAGGCCCATGAGTGCCCACCCACCCAAACCGGCAACCTGTGCCCCAAGTGTCCATGTGCCCAAGTCCCAAGTGTCCACATGGATACTACTCAAGCTTGTGAGTGCCCACCTGCCCAAGCCCACACCCTGAGCACGTGTGTTGACACCTATCTGAGCGCCCACCCACCTGAGCTTGCAGCCTGAGAGCCCACATGAGCACTGCCCGAGCCCATGAGTGCCCACCTGCTGCAGCCTACCCACACCCTGATGGCTGAAGTAGACACTGTCTGAGCCCATGAGTGCCAACCTGCCCCAACTTGCACCTCGAGCATCTGTGTGGATACCTGCCTTTCTGACACCCCCAGGCCTTGAGGGTCACTTCTGCATCCTCTGTGCACTCCTAGGATGTGGCAAAGCCAGCCCAACATCTGTGATGGCTGTGCTCCTAGCACTGGGGTTTAAAGTTCTTGTTTGGTGTTTTATTTTGGTGG